ACTCCTCTCTCTTCCATGTCCAAGCCTGCTTTCCTTACAATATGTTCTACAATATTGTTGAATGGGTAGGGTGATAGGATGCAGCCTTGTCTGACTCCTTTGCCAATTGGGAACTATTCTGTTTCTTCATGTTCTGTTCTGACAGTAGCCTCTTATCCTGAGTAGAGATTCCTCATCAGGACTATCAGATGTGTTGGCACTCCCAAGTCTTTAAGGGCATTCCATAGTCTTTCATGATCTATGCAGTCAAAGTCTTTGCTATAGTCTATAAAGCACATGCTGGTTTTCTTTGGAACTTCCTGCTACACTCCATTAGCCATCATATATTTACAATGTGATCCCTGGTGCCTCTTCCTTTCCTGAACCCTGCTTGGAGCTCTGGGATTTCTCTCTCCATGTATGGCTGGAGTCTTAAGTTGCAGAATTTTGAACATGATTTTGCTTGCGTGGAAGATTAATGCTATGGTTTTATAATTGCTGCAGTCTCTTGAGTCTCCTTTTTTGTGGATGGGGATGTATATTGATTGCTTCCAATCTGTTGGCCATCATTTTGTTTTCCATATCTGTTGACATGTTGGTTAGCACTAGAGTTAACTCTGTCAGTGTGGATTGCAACAGGTCTATTGGTATATCATCTATTCTTGGAGTCTTGTAAATAAACTAAATACAACAGTTATATCATACTTCTCCCAATCTGATGCCCTTTAAATATTCTGGACTGCACCTCCCACATTCCCTTGCCATTGATAATTTGGATTGGGCTTCTGGGAGCTGACATCTAACATCTGGAATGCCAAAGTTTCCCCATCCCTGCTGCTTGCGAAACAATCTGTGTGAATGGTGTGGCTAGCCATTATAGATGGAGAATCCAAGGGAGGTGCTAATGGGGATCTATTTCCATCCTGTGTCACTATTTGACCCTCTCCCCTCATCCACCAATGCATTCATTGGCTGTTGAGTGGTCCACAGCTAGAACTGAAGGATGTCAGAAAGTAAATGAACCCTCTGCCTTTGCTTCCTCAACAGCTCAGGAATGCAAGGTAGAACTTGCTCCCCTTCCCATTCTCTGTGTTTCTCAATTGCTCAACTGTACTACATCTATGTTTCGTCAACCCTAGCTGGTTGATAAACTCACCCAAGACCAGAATTCAATGGAAGTGACATGATGTACCATTTCAGACAGTGACGTAATTCATCTCCACCACATTTCACCTTAATTGCACATTTGGGGCTGCAAAGAAGTCTCAGTCAAATTTCTTTATCTACAAGAGCCTCAGGTCACATGAGCAAGCACTCAGTATTACCTCCTGACTCACTGTTAAGAGATGTCTTTTTGAAGCAGAATGGCACAAGTGCCAAAAGCCACCATTACGTAAGGGAAATATGCAAAACATTGCTGCATAATGTTTCCTAGAGGCGCTGAGCCTGGGACAAATGTCTACGTTGCTCAGTGGTTGAGCCCATCCTTGGATTACACAAAGTTCATCTTGATCAATGCTTCTGAAAAGCCTGTATTCTGATCAATGGTTTTAGAACTTGGAAAAGTTACTTTTTTCAGCAATGGTTCTCAGATTCCTTCAGCCAACATAGCTGGTAGCCATACTGCCTAGCAGATTTTGGGAACTATTATCCCCCAAAGTTAACCTTTCCAAGCTCTGCCTCCTTTTCAGTATGTCAGCAGAGAGATGAGGTGGCAGCAAATTGTACCTCATGTTCTCTAACTTTCTGTTCATCTCTGTCTCCCAAAAAGGCAGGGAGGGTATATGAGGCAGGGTATCTGGATTCAAACCATGGTACACAGAGAAAGGAGTTCCCTTCTCCCCCCCCCCCCCCGGTACTATTAGTAGTGGAACAAAAATCACATTGACACAAAAATTGTGCATCTGTGCTCCCACAACAAGGAATATGGCTCTTTCAGATTGGGGCTGCAGTATGAGAGAAAGAGTTGTCTTCCTTACTACTAACCCTGATTCAAATTCATCTCATCTTTTGCTTTGAATTTTTTTTCACATATTTATTCAGATCATTTACACCCCACCATTCAGCCAAAAAGGGTCCCAGAATGGCTTACAAACTGTCAATTTGACATTGATTTACATTAAGAGTTCACAGCTGCAGAACTATAGCTGCCTTCACCCCCTTCTAAGTGAAGGTTATGCTGAATGGTAGGGCAATCCTAAGATATTTTATTGCCTGGGAAGGAGAACAAGATGGTACCTTTCACCATTCCAGCTGGTAAGACTGATGGTTGAATCTATCGATTAGGAGTAATTTCTCAGGGTATTAGTTCCTTTAGAGGAGTGTTTAAGTAACCCGATCCTAGGGAATTATGGAATTTGTAGTTTAACAAGGACTTTAGTCTTCTCTGCCAAAAGGTGCTGATGCTTCATAGAATTACAAATCCCAAGATTCTGTAGGATGGAGGCATGGCAGTTAAAGTTGTGTCAAACTGCATTCTCTATACAGTGTATATGCACTCTGAGATTAACATCAGAAAAACACAAGCGAGCAAGCATTTGAGTTCTATATTCAAAGAATTTAGTTGTTGCATCTAGAATATACATTCTAAATATGCATTCACATAAAAAGGGAGTTTCTGGTAAAGGAGCTGAGTGAAGCTGTGACTCACCCATCTTGATGGAAAGAGGGAGGAAGTGGGGATTGTTTTCATACAACACAATTCTATAGTGTTCACTCTACACAGTACTATATTCCACTTGAACTACCGTGGCTGTGTCCTATGGAATCCTTGGCTTTATAGTTTTGTGAGGCACTAGATCTCTCTGGCTGTGAACTCTAGATGCCCCTTGCTAGACAGCAACTAGGATGGAACTATAGCAGTTAAACTAGATTCATAATGCTACAGTTCTGTAGTGTGAAAAGGGTCAGGAAGGAGTCTCTCTGTGACCAGACACCTGGGAGTTTCTGGGACCACACAGGCTGGCTATCTAGTTATGTTGCTTACCAATATTCATGTATTACAATCTACAGTTAGCATATGGGGAAAGCTTGAGAAAGAATATTGAATGGAAGAAAACAGAGGCATGCAAAAAAAGCCTGTATTGTCTGAACAAGCTTATTGCTCTAATAGTAAAAGGAGGGTGTGTGGGAAGAGAATGTTTCTTCAATACTGTTGGGATGGGATTCTCTACTGAACCTGGACAGGTAGAGGATAAATCACATGGCACAAAACTTTCTCTTCCATTCAGACCTTGGAGGTAAGGAACTACTAGTACTGGCTGTTCTGGGTTGTGGTGGTGAGTTTCAATGAGGGTACACAATGGTTTAATGCTGAACATAAAGAAAACAAAAATAATGACCGTGGAAGAAGTAAATAAATTCTACCTAGACAATGAGGAAATCAAAATAGTAAAAGAGTTTCCATACCAAGCATCCAACATTGATCATAATGGAGGCTGCAATCAAGAAATCAGGAGAAGTCTAGGAACGGGAAGGGCAGCAATTAACGAACTAGAAAAGATCCTTAAAAGTAAGATATACAAATGAATACTAAGCTTAGAATCATCCAAGCCATTATATCCCCCATTACCATGTATGGATGTGAAAGCTGGACAGTCAAGAAAGCAGATAGGAAGAGTATCAACTCAATTAAGATGTGGTGCTGAAGAAGAGTGCTGAGGATCCCATGGACAGCCAAAAGGACAAGCCAATGGGTCCTTGAACAGATCAAGCCTGAAATCTCCCTGGAAGCCAAGATGATCAAATTGAGGCTGTAGTACTTTGACTACATCATGAGAAGGCATGAATCATTAGAAAAGCTAGGAAAGGTAGAAGGCAATAGAAAGAGAGGAAGACCGCATGTCAGATGGCTGAACTTAACCAAAGAGGTTACAGGCATGGATTTGCAGGACCTAAGCAGAGCAGTGGAGGACAGAGGGACTTGGAGGTGTCTCATTCACAGAGTTGCCACTCAAGGGCAGTTGACAACAACAATAGCAATGGTATTTTTCAAAAGAAACACTATAAGTGAAGCTCCTTTATCTGAATAATGAGTATAGACATCTTGTTATTTTCCAATGTAATTTTTCAAGGGTATTTAATGGCAGTTTGACAGGAACCTTCCAAGTTTTATGCCACTGTCTTTTGAATCCTTACAATTTTTTTACATTTTTACAAAGTATCAGAAGCTAGTGGTTTAGTGGTTTGAGTGTTGGACTAGGATACTGAGAAGTCTGGGTTCGAATCCTTGCTTGGCCATGGAAACTCACTGAGTGATCTTGGGCAAGACATCCTCTCTCAGCCTCAGAGAAAGGCAAGGGCAAATCCCCTTTGATTAATCTGTACCAAGAAAACCCCATGATAGGGTTGCCTTAGAGTCACCATAAGTCAGAAATGACTTGAAGGCACACAACAATAAGCAGAAAATAATAGAAAGGGAAATAGGCGTACTATTTTTTCAGTGTTGTAGCAAATAGTGAAATTGAGTAACACCAAAAATAACTTTCCAAGCTCTGCCTCCATCATTTTTCTACCACCACCCAGCATCTGCCACGTCAGGCAACTAACTCTATTTGCCTAAAATAGTGGGGAATCTAGTACAACCCATGCTGATCCCATAGGACCTATCGGACTATCCAACTCCCCATGGTAGTTCATATTTAAAAATAAAATTTAAAGGTAAAAAGGTGAGTTTGTGGCTGGGGGGAAAAGCTCATTGTGAGAAAAAGAAGTATATCCCAGAGTGCTAGCCCTTTAGGGGAAAAATACAAGGATTAAATCTATTATGAAGTACATTTGCCTTCCTCAGCAGCATTTAGCAGAGTAACATGCATCAATCTTCTATACTTCACTGACTGCAGCTAACTTAAGTAAATACAGGCAGGCAGCATCAAGTTACAAAGTGAAGAACTTTACCAATTGTTAAAAGCAATTGGTAAAGTTCTTTACTTTGTAACTTGAGGCTCCTTGCTCGTATTTACTTAAGCTAGTCACCGTTTACATTTTGGAATGTACATACATTTGAAGCACCTATAGCCTAATGAACAAAAATATTAGGTAAAATAAAGTTCCAGTGAGCTTAGCCTTTTAACTCATCATCTTGAAGCTGAGAGAAAACAAAAAGAGAGGAGGAGGTAGAGAAAGGGGGAGTTTTTATATGACCACAGGCCCTAGAATCTTCTCAGGTGACATGGTCTAGTTGTTTAGGTACACAAAGTATTTATCACCACACATTGCAATAGACAGGTGAGCAAGTGGAGAAACTTGAGCCCAAAAACTCAGGATGAGTATAGGCATTTGTTGTTGTGTACCTTCAAGTTGGTTCAGACTTATGGCTACCCTATCATGGGGTTTTCTTGGCAAGAATTGTTCAGAGGAGGTTTGTCATTGCCTTCCGCTGAGGCTGAGAGCATGTGATTTTCCCAAGGTCACCCAGTAGGTTTTATGGTCAAGCTAGGAATTGAACCCTGGTCTCCAGAGCTGTAGTCCAAGGCTCAAACCACTATGCCATACTGGATCTCTGAGTATATGTATGCAGGGGCCTTATACCATCTAAAATTTCCAATTGCCATCATGCCAATGAAAGAAAGAGTGAGATTTTCCAACATTCATTGCTGGCAGATTTGGCTCTTCTAAACTTTTATAGGAGGGACTGAAGAATAGACTTCTTCTGGGATTAGAAGGTGGCCAAAATGTTACCTGAGGTCCACCAAAATGGTTTCTGCAGTGCAGTGCTGTAACTTTCTGGAGTTACAGAGAAGCCAAAAATGGCAGTATGAAGCCTTCTAGGATCTGGAGTGCATCCACCTTGGCCCAGGGACAGAGCTTGCTGAATGGCTACCTTGGTGTGTGAAAGAGAACAACCCCAAATCAAAGCATGTGAATATTGATGGTCTGAATACAACTTCAGAAATTGTTATTGATATGCCATCACCCTCTTGGGATGTCTTTGAATTCTACCTCCCATTCTGTGCAATACTAAGGTGTGCTCAGTGCTAAACAACAGTAATATCAAAAAAATTCTTGGTCATGACTCACTATCTAGTTTGATCCATCTGCTTGGCAGCCTGTTTTCACAGCAAATAGGAGGATAGGCTGGATCCTTCTGAAGTTTTTTTTTTCCCTAGGAGCAGCAGCAGCAGCCCAGACTTGCACCCAGAGGCTCGGGGCCCATTTGTTTCTTGGAGATGAAAAGGGCAGCAAATATGTCAGGCAATTCCCAAACTTTGATCCTCCAGGTGTTTTGGGCTTCAGCTCCCAGAAGCCTTAGCCAGTTTGGCCAGCAGGCAGGAATTCTGGGAGCTGACATCCATAGTATCTGGAGGATCAATATCTGGCTTGAGGACACAATGCAAATAGTTTTTTGTGGGTTTTTCAGGCTGTGTGGCCATGTTCTAGAAAAGTTTCTGACATTTCGCCAGCATCTGTGGCTGGCATCTTGCAAATGTTGAAAAGTTTTTTTCCCCCCTTCATTTCAGCAAGAATTTAAATGTAGATTCAGTCAAGGGCTGGTTGCTTGCAAAGTACGGTACAATTTTAAGCCTTTGTCTTGCTCAGAGTTCTGAAAGTATATGCATTTTAACATAGGCAAGTTTATCAGAAAAATAGGGTGAAGTACATAATAAAATGCAGTCTATGTAATAATAGCTGTAAATAAACCATGTGAAAATGCATTTATATTTATGGTCCAAAACAGACTGCAGAAATAATCCAGTTTTAGATCACTAACTGCCCTGGTTAAACTAGGGAATTCTGGGACCTGTAGTTTTGTGAGACATTTAGCCTTCTCTGTCAGAGAGCTCTGGTGCCACAATAAGCCACAATCCCGCGATTCCCAAACACTGAGCCAGGGCAGTTAAAGCAGTCTCAAACTGGATTATTTCTAGAGTGTGTTCTGGACCATATTCTATCCACCAATGGTTCTGTTTGGCAAGGATGAATCCAATAGAACAAATAATTGCAGGTATTTCAAGATCAGGATATCATATCTCATGCCCTGTGTTCTATATAAGCATTGTCAATGTTTTTGGGCTGTAGTTCTACCTTTCTCATGTTAAATTTTGTTTTTTAAATAATAATAAATTTTATTTATAACCTGCCCCTCTGCATAGCAACCGGGGTGGCGTACAGAAAAATTAAAACAAACAGCAGTTAAAATACATCTTCATCCTAACCCCTAACCCTCCCACCCCTTAAAACTAAATTAAACTAATACAGAGTTAAAACATAAAATACAATAAAAACAGCTTTAGTTTTCATCTCCCTTCTTAAATTTTAAAAAAGTTCCAAAGGATGGTCTCTGAATCTCTAGTGCTGAGAATGCCAAGCCATCTCCAATTATTCCACCCCCATGACCTTTAAAAAATACTTTTTGCCTGATGAAGAACCGAGTGGAACAATGAAACCTTGCAACGTGTCTATTGTAGAGAGATCATGTAGCACCTTTGAGACTCATTGAAAGAAAGAAGTTGGCAGCATGAGCTTTCATAGACTTCATACTTCCTCAGATGCATTTGGTGGAGTGGAAAACAGGGTCAGACCTATATATGCATGTGAGAATGTCAGTTCAAATTCAAAATTC